CTGTTACTTTTCCTCCTCTTCCTCCTCCCCCTCGTTCCCGCTGTCCTCGTCGTTCTTCCTCTCCCACTCCTCCTCCTCTATCCGCGATGTTTCGCCACGTCCTCCCCGCCCCACCCCCCCTACCCTCCCTCCTTTTCGGCTTTCACCTCCCTGTATCTACTTTTCCTCCTCCTCCTCCCCCTCGTTCCCGCTGTCCTCGCCGTTCTTCCTCTCCCACTCCTCGTCCTCTATCCGCGATGCTTCCCTGTCATCATCGCGTCCTCTTCCACTTCCGGGCTGCTTGATCCTCGCCGTCCTTGTCATCATCGCGTCCTCTTCCACTTCCTAATCATCGCCTTCCCCCTCGTCTTCCTCGTCCTTCTCATCCTGTCCCCCCCCTTTCTCTCTCTCTCTCTCTCAATGTATGGAGGGAGAAGAAAAGAAAAAAAGAACACAGATCTCTCTCTCTCTCTCTCTCTCTCCAAGGAATCGACTTTGTCACGGGGAGAGAAGATAGCGGGCAGTGCGGGTCGAGGCCGAGCGGAGGTGGGCGGAGGTAGAGGACGGTAGGAGTTGGACAGGGTGTGGGCCGCCAGCCGAAAGGAGCTGGGCAGAGGAGAAGTGGCCAAGGTGGAGAGAAGATGGTGGGAGGAGGCGGAGAGGAGAGCGCGTGAAGGCCGACCGTGGGTGGAGGCATAGGGCGGAGGCCAAGGGGAGGTCGACAGAGGTAGCGGGTGGGGCCCTTGCGTAGGTGGGTGGAGGTAGCGGGAGGAGGAGGTGGGCAGAGGCGGACAGGAGGTCAGTGGAGGCCAAGGGGAGGTTGGCACGCACAGCGGGACGTGCAGCAGGATGTTGGGAGGAGGTGTAGGCAAGGTGGGCGGAGGGCAAGGGGAGATGGGAGAGATCCCAATGGTGGAAGGGAGGGTTAGCACGCACAGCGGGATGTCCAGCGGGATGGCGGGACGAGCCGGACACGAGGTGGGGGGAAGGCAAGGGGAGATGGGAGATCCCAATGGTGGAAGGGAGGTGGGCAGAGGCTGACAGGAGGTCGTCAGAGGCGGTCAGAAGGTAATCAGAGGCCGAGGGGAGACGGGCGCACACTGTTAAAAAAGAAAGAAAAAGAGAAAAAGGGGCGCGCAATGGGATGTCCAGCGGGATGGCGGATGTGCGGGCAGAGGAACGGAGCCCAGAGCAGAGGTGAGCAGAGGCAGAGAAGTGGCGGAGGCCGAGCAGAATGAGATGACATAGACACGGGCGGACAGGAGGCGGACGGAGGCTGAGGGGAGATTGGTGATCCCAATGGCAGGAGGGAGGTGGGCAGAGGCGGACAGAAGGTCAGCGCTGGCCGAGGGGAGGTGGGCACACACCATTTTTTTTTTGTTTTTTTTTTAAAGGCGGGCAGAGGGATAGTGGATGTGTGGGCAGCGGAACGGAGGCGGAGAGGAAATGAGGCATACAGGTGGCAGAGGTGGAGAGGAGATGGCGGGAGGAGGCAGACAGGAGGTGGCGGAGGTGGAGAGGTGATGGCCGGAGGAGGCAGACGGGAGGTGGCGGAGGCGGAGAGGTGATGGCTGGCGGCAGGATATAACCAGAGGAGACGTGGCAGAGGCGGAGGAGAGGAGATGGCGGGGAGAGGCCGATCGAGGTGGGAGGAGACGGAGGGGAGGTGCTCGGAGGTGGGCGAAGGTGGGTGGAGGCCGAGGCCAGAGGCGATGGCACGGGCCGTGATCGCTCTCTCTCTCTCTCACACACACACACAGGGGATAGGAAGGCGGAGGCGGAGAAGAGTTGGCAGGAGGAGGTGGCGGGGGGAGGCAGACCGGAGGTGGCAGACGCGGTGGAGGAAAGAGAGAGAGGATCTGGCGGGGGGAGGCAAAGTGGAGCTGGGCGGAGGCCAAGTGGAGGTGAGCAGAGGCCGAGTGGAGGTGAGCAGAGGCCGAGTGGAAGTGGGCGGAGGCCGAGGCCGGAGGCGGTGGCACAGGCCTCTCTCTCTCTCTCTCTGTTACATGCACAGATATGTGATGTTTGTAATAACCGAGGAACTGCAATGTGACGAAAAGGACTGAAATGGACAATGCGGTKAGAGTAGAATCTCGACAGACAATGTGCATTCTCATACATACAAAAGTGCTAAATAGCACAGGGAAGACTTAGATACAAAGACTGACCTGACAAGGACTGACCTTACACACGTAGTAGCAAGTAGCGAAACAGACTGCTAG